TGGGGAAGGACTTGGGAAGCATTTGGGGAAGTGTGTGGGTGAGGATGTGTGGTGAAGTGTGTGGTGAAGTGCGCAGCAAAGCACACAGGCAACCTGTGGGGAAGTGTGTGGGGAAGCACATGGGGAAAAGTGTGGGGAAGTGTTTATGGAAGTGCGTAGGGAAGCCTGTGGGGAAGTGTATGGGGAATTGTGTGGGGAAGTGTGTGAGGAAGCCTGTGGGGAAGCGCACAGGGAAACTGTGGGGAAGTGTGTGGGGAAGCATATGGGTAAGAGCCGGGGAATCACGTGGAGAAGCGCATGGGGATACACAGCAGGGACCGTCAGGAAGTGCGTGGAGAAGCACACAGGGAAACGCATGGTAAAGCACAGGAGGAAGCATATGGGGAAGCCTGCGGGGAATCATGTGGGGAAGTGTGTGGGGAAGCATGTTGGGAAGCATGTAGGGAATTGCGTGGGGAAGCGCATGAGGAAGCATGTGGGGAAGTGTGTGGGGAAGTGCACCAGGAACGCTGTTGTGGCCGTGGAGGGTCGGGGAAGGTGGCGAGCGGCTAGTCCGGACAGGCCGGCAGCGGGTGCAGGGGTCCCGCGGGCGGCTTTGACAGGCTGGGAGGGAGAACCGCGACTGGAGCTGCGGGACAGCGCTGGCGCAGGGAGCGAGCGGCTGTAACAAGTCACTCCATAATACATGGCGGCCACGTAAACGGAGATTAGAGAGAGTGTCGAGTATCAGAGGAGCGAGAGCTGGGAGCTGTTCTCAGGGGGGAAGCAGGGGGAGGATGAGGAGGCGAATGTAAACAGGGTTTAAGCCCCACCTCAACTGTTTTATAAATGCTGCTAAACTGGGGGTTGTGTGACACAGCCCGTTGTGATTGCAGAGGAGCCTTTTTCTATGTAAAAAGGAAGATTTGGCAATGCCAAGGCGAGGAACTTCCTTTGGCCTGGCCAAATGTGTTGGCTTGGGGCCCTAAAGGACCCATGGACTCCGAAGGGCTGGGATGAGGGACACCACAGGCATGGCGCTGCGGGGGCCTCTGCAGAGGCGCCTGAGCTGGAGGGCTGGGGCTGCTGGGGCGAAGGGTTGTGCCGGTGGCCACAGAGCTGCACCCAGGTCCCCAGGTTGCCAGCAGGAACAGGAGGGTTGGGAGCAGGTACAGTGGGTGCGGGAGAGCAGGGACTACTGCCTGCCCGCTCCGGGGGGCTTCAGCTGGGACTTTCCTTCCTGTGGAGCCATGGTCGGACTTGCCGGCAGCCTGAGCCTGGCTGAGTCATCCCAGCTTTGGGCTGTTTGTGTTAAAAAATGCTGTTTTATTTTTTAGCAGCGGTGCCGCAGCCTCGCTCCCGTCCAGCCCGTGACTCTGCGCCCCAGCACGGCAGCACGTGGCTCCACAAAGCGCCGCACAGGGAGTTGGGGCTCTCGTTGCACGGCCCCACGCGGCTGGGGATGTCCCACAGCCCCATGCAGAGCAGCCCAGCACCCTACTGGCTGCTGGGACGGGCAGCAAAGGGTGCTGCTGGGTGCAGGTTCCTGCCTTGCTCCGTCCCGGGCTCTCTAGGACGGCGGGATTGAGGGTGCAGCTCTGCCCGAGGCTGGGATGTTCTCCAGCAGGGTGGGAGCACCAGTGTAGCTGCACAGCAGCAGGGAGGCAGCTCCGCTCCCCCGGCTCTTTCCAGCAGGTGAAGTCAGCCCAAGCGCAGCTGAGCGTGGCCAGGGTGAGCCAGTGCCACGACAGCTGCCCCCATGAAGGTGGTGGGATCCCAAGGACCCTGGCACCACAGCGGTGCCCCGGCCCCTGGCCAGGAAAGTCAGCGCTCAGCCCGGCTTCTGCTCCCAGGGTGCAGCCGAGAAGGACACAGGGAGCAGAATGGATCCTTTTCATGCGCAGTTCAGTGGGGAATGGGCAAAATGAAACCAAAGAACAGTATCTGGCATCATTTTTGCTCCCCTTGGTAAATATGGAACAGAACTTGACCCTGTGAAGCAAGTGCTGTCTCCCAGGCGGACGCTCCGGTGCTGGGCTGCACGGGGCCAGGAAGAGCAGAGGCGAAGGGCTCAACGGGGCCGGCGCGGGCCGTGGGCCCCGCTGCACGTGGCTGCTCCTGCCCGCGGTACCCGGGGCAGCGCTGCTGGGCTGACCCCAGCCTCTGCGTTCCAGCAAAACCACTGGCGTATGGAGCAACACAAGGCAGCAGAGGGATCATGTTATTCCAGCCAAAACTCAACACCTCTTTTGACTGTCTCTGGTTAAAATCCCACTTTTTGCTCCTCCAAGAAGATTTGTTGTAAAAGTGCTGAAGACAAGGAAAGCAAAAAGCATTTTTTCCTACCATGGCATGGCCATTCCCAGGAGCGATTTTCTACAGCAAAGCTGCAGCTTTTGCCTCTCCCTCAGGCCACTGCCAGAGCTGGTTTGGGTCTTCCCATAACATCCTGCCTCCCTCCCTGCTGAAGGGCCAAGGGGGATTAAAGGGACACAGAAGGTTTCAGAAAAACCTCTTCCTTCCCACCTCTTGACGCAGCTAGGGGCAGTTCTGCAGGTCCATGGGCAGGGTGCTAAGCTCCCTGTACCCCACTCATTCTCAACAGAGATAAATGTTTTGCCTTGCATTTCAGAAAGTAGCTTGTGTCTATGGTTCTGCCAACCAGAAGAAAAGCAATTAAAAAAATCACCACACACAAAAAGAAAAAACACAGGTGTGGGAGGAAGCACAGCCGAGAGGTGGGACTCGAGCTGGAAACGCTGCAGCCCGGCCTGGCCGCCCGAGCCCTGATGGGGCGAGTGCTCCCGGCTCCCAGCCCGGCCAGGCTGCCGACTCGGCTCCCCGGCCCGGGCCGCACCCGCGGGGCG